GTGAGAAACTACGGCCCGACGCAAACACCTGCAAGGCTTTCTCCAGCTTACCTGTCACACGGGAGAGCAAGGGAGGAAAAGCACCCAGGACTGCAAACACAGGAGCACACGGACACTGGGACAGATGGAAGAGCACCTGCGACAGGAACACGGGCTGGACTGAGCGAACAGAACCAGCCCCTGGGTTGCAGGGTCTCGGCTGCCTTTGGGACCAAAGGATACTTCCCAGGAGGAGCACAGAGGCACCCAGCTCCTCGGGGACCACGGGACTCTCCCAGGAGGGGCAGAGGGGAAGCTGGCTCCCTTCGGGATGCAGGAGCACTGCCAGGAGGGGCCAGGTGCCAGCACACCGTGGGGCCTGGGTCTCCCTGCACAGGCAAGCGGGCATGGCTGCTCTCACAGAGGGGTCCGTGCCCCAGAACCCCCTCCCACCACCCTTCTGCCACCCTTTTCCCCGTCACAGCAGAGGAGAGGCTCTTACCTGCACACCACCACGCCAGGCAGCCTGAAGGACTCTCCCACTGAACCTTCTGGAAGCTCCGGGGCTGCTCCCAGCACAGCCCCGCCCTAACGAGCTGTGCCCTAACGAGCTGCCGCCCCCGGCCCAGCTGGGCCCCCTCGGCCGCCCACACACCTGCCCCACTGCCCCACACACAGCTGCTCTGGGATCTCCAGGGACCAAACCCAACACACAGAAGCTTCTACAAAGAGCAGAAATTTCACAACAAGCAACATAAGAGCCACCTTTTTTCATGTTCGAAGGACAGAAAATCAAATTCCTGAACAAAACACCAGGCCTCCCCTTTTCTCCTTGCACCTAAAGGAATTTAAGTTGTAAATACGTATCCATGTCCTAGGAAGGACTGAAACCCTCCTGCCTGTGTCACTTTGTGCAGCTGACACGGCATCAGAACGGAGCCTGGTAACGTGCACGTACCAAAGCCATGCCAGAGATGGTTTTCCAGCCCTTTACCTGGCAATGGCATCAGTAACACAAGACCACTGCTGCAATAGGAACTATATTGTTCAATTTATGCAGTAACAAAAATCCTCTTCGGCCTTGTCCCTGTAGGATTCATCATTTTAAGTCTGGAAACTTAGAACCTGCAGCAAAAAAGGGAGGGCAGCCGAAGCCTGTTCAAGCTCTGTGTTAAGTACAAGGAATTAAAAAACCAAAATGTCAAAATAAATACCATAGCACACGTTCAAGCCAGCCTCAGAAAAAGCACTTTCAGAAGTTATTTCCAGTAGACAAGAACTGACCTTCCCCTTACAAAATGCCACAGGGTATAAATAGAGCAGCCTCTTCAAACATGCAGCTCCAAACTCCCGTGCAATTTGTCATGAATACTCCCAGTCTGCTTCAAGCACCCTCAAACAATGGGGCACTCTTTCCTCACTATACTCAGAGCACTAATTAGCTTGAACCAGCATCAAACTACCTTGTCATTTTTGAAAAATCATAGATCGAACACAGAGCAGAACCAGACCAAGAACGCAGCCTTCCCGTCTCCCTTTTGACCAAACATTTATTCTGTAAATATACTCACCACTTCTCTGTGTGGCACCACAACACTACCCTAAGTTTTGGAGATGCCAAGCATCATGAACTGCAAGTATGGAACACTCCAACAGCTAGCTCACACAAATACATCACAATCCCTAATGGATGGAAGACAGGGAACCATGACAAATGTACACAAACACGTAACATGACGCAATTTGAAAGCAAATTTTAGCTTTTCAGCAGGCAATGAATAGACAATGAGTTACTGTGCATCTTCCTCTCTGCAATTATCATCCCTTTGGAATGCATCTCTTGCCAGCTCTGTATCAGCTGCGTGCAGGATGACTCTACAGCACAAAGTAACATCTCTTAGAAAATAAGATGCGTGAAAAACTCGGCGACTAGGGGTATATATAGTGTACTGTATCTAATTTGAAGCTTATACTTCATGAACCATCAGGCCTCATTCTCCCTTGCATGTCTTGCAAGGTTCGCTTTGGTTCACGGGCAAATTTAAAAGAAAATGACAGCATGCAATCTTCCCTGCTCTGTTGAAACTAGGGGGATTGTCATCTCTGGTTTAGAAGTTCTCATCTTTCTACTCTTCCTTGGCTGACACAATGAGAGCTTACGCACACACTCATTGTAAATACTCGTTTGTGCTCAAGCTGATCAGTGGCTGTGGTATATTACCATTGTACACAGAATGTTCCTGAAGTCATGGCAGCCAAAACACCCTTACACATTCATTTTTACCAATTTGACTGCTTAACTTATGGAAAAACAAGCCAAAGTTATGCAGTATGGCCCCAGAGCATAAACGTGCCTCAGGGAGGCAGAACATACTCTGGAATTGGACATGATGTTGGTGTTTTGTGTACTGTATATATATAAAAAAATTACCTCGAAGAAGGAAAAAAATAAAGCCACGGAAGACAAGACAGCTTTGAAACACACAAGACAGCCATGCCAGCATCCCATATTATCCCAGATGAAAATAACTTCTTTTCCCACTAACAACAATCAAGAGACATTTCGCTTGCAGGCAAAACCTGGCTGCTGTAGTGTAGCTTGGTTTTATTTATGTCCACAAATATTTCAAAAAAATTACAAAATACTCAAATGGAGAGAACACAGAAGTCACGATTTCTGGGTTTCTACTCTGTTTACACTGTGTTATCCCATGGCAAACTACTCATATATACATTAAGCTTCAAGATATATATAAATGTAGCAGTCAGAATGTACACTCTGCTTTAACGGTGCAGTGAAACAAGCTCAACCATGACGACATAGAACAAGAGAGACGTTTCCAAAACACTAAAGCAAAATTAAAAAATAAACCTTCAAAACAGGAAAAATAAGAGAGATTTCTTAAAGAAAATTAAAACCTCTGGGTTGTTTTAACAGGGCATCGAACACCAAGATGGCTTCAAAAACCACTGCATGTAAAGTTGTAGTTAATCATTGATCTAAAATGGAAGAATTTCAGTGCTTATTTGCTGAATGAAGGGAACAAAAAAAACTCCACAAATTATCAGAATGCTCTTCTGAGAAAAAATAAATAAAATAAATCAATGAATAGCTTTTGAACAGACTGCAAACTTCAGCTGAAAAAAAATACAGAGAGAGGACCATCTGATGCAATCAGCTTTTTTTTTTTCCCCCTTAGGAAGAACTACAGCTAAAAATAACAGCAAAAGAGAAGGATCAGGAGAAATGCCTGAAGTGGCTGAACTGCCCCAAACTCTCAAATTCTACACAGTAAAAACAAGGAGGGGAGGTTTAACTGAAATGTGTCTAATTAGACCTTTGAAGTAAACTGAGGCACTCTCTCTGCTGAGCAGACTGATCTTACTAGCTACTCCGCTGTTAGCAAAAGCAAAAAACATTAATCAGAAGAAAACCATTTCACCTGATCACTGCAGACAACAACTGAAGGCATTGACTGAAGACGACTTCACCATCCCCAATCCTAGATTGACCTCATTGTTTCCCCATCTCAGAAACACTAGCTGTTCCTCCCAACACCTTCACAGAGAGTTCAAATACAGCAGATGGAAGCGATTAAATGCTATTGCAAGTCTTTAGCACTGACGAATCTGGAATGGAGGACTGAAAAAAAGGAAGATCAACATCTGCTGAAACAGTCCTCCTCTCTCTCCTATACAACTCTTGCCCTAAGCAGACCTAGAATACCCCAATGCATATTTTTAATTGGTGAACTGATGCTACTGACTGTCTGATAGTAACTTTTGGGCACTGACACTGGTTTGAGATCCGTGAGGTGGAAAAGCACTGTGCATGCCATGCCTTCCATCAGAATGTATGATTAACTACAAGTTTATCAAACATGGCTCAGTACAGTCCTATGACACAACCATCACACTGAACAGTCTACAACAGCAGAGAGAGCACTCATGAGTTAAGAGAGAGAATGGGGGGAAGTTATGCACCAGCAGAAAAAACGGCCAGCAGATTCAGATGTCCATTGGTTGCATCACCCTCTGCTCTGACAAAGAAAACCCATGGCAAAACAGCGAAAGAAAAAAATATTTCTCCCTAGACAGTAAGTGGAGCTGTCTCCAAAATAATGCTCACTGGCCTTCTGTGCATTCCTCTCCTTTCACCATCCACATGGGAACTAGCCAACAGGAGTTATTCTGCATGGATCTGTTGTGTTGGGAGTCAGTAAATGTTACTGTTCATATATTACTGTTCATATATTCGGTTAATCCCAAAGCATTAAGTTCCTGAGATACAGAACACTGGTGGCAATTTAAAAGTTTTTACTTATAAAACCAAAACTAAAACAGTCAAAAGAGAAATACAGACTGGTCTTTGCAAAACAACTCTGAGAACACTGAGATGCCTACTCACTCTTCTTAAGAACTTAGCAAACATAAGAAGCCAGAAAGAGCACATCCTCCAAAAATATGCACGTGCATACAAAATTCTGGCTGTGCTAGTTTGAGGCATGAAACATTTTTAGAAAAAGAGATTTTAGAACAGATTATTTCTTTGAACCTTTGTCTAAAGTCTAAAACCAATGTAGTTAAATTAAGTTTCAAAAGGTAATAGGAAAGAAGTGTATTATGGCCACACTAAAAACTAACCCTTGAAGTAGGCAACGAAAGGGTAAGCTAGTTCCAAGGGACACCTGTACTGCTGAGAAATACAACTCAACAGAAATCATCTGCAGAACAGAGAGATGTAACACTAACAAAAAAAATCCAACAAACCCAAACAAACCAAAAAACCAAGAACAGAAACAGTCATTTGCAACATTATCCCTGCAACTCCCTTTAATGCTTATTGTTGATAACAAACCAAATTTCAAGCTTTTACCCATTTGAAATTATTGATACCCATCATTCCCTTTAATTAAAGGGATAATTATATATATAATTTTTTATTAAAAAATCAACTCTGTATTCTGTCAATACCAGGTAGGAATTCACAATTTGTGATGTTACTGAAAATCAAGATAAATGTTTCTGGAGTTTTGTTTTGTTTCTCCCCTCTACTCAAAAAAGTTATTTACAGACTTAAAAAGCCATGCTGCAGAACTGAGCTCTCTTTAAAATTATGAAGATTTCCTACAATGTATTAAAATAAAAGTAGATTTTTATTATTATAGCACTTGGATTCAGAGCTTGTTATGTCACCTACTTGCAATCCTTGTTTTTTTTTAAAATAGCTATAGATGCATTGAGTGTCTCTTCACGCACAGTGACTCGTGTTGTGAACCTGATTCTAGCACCTACTCAAAACAAACTAGTAAGAAAAAAAAAAACAAGATTGCAGGAAGTTCTCTGAATTTTCCACACAGTCCTGTACTTTCAATAGGCTTCTGAATACGTTGTCATGCAGGGAGACCCACGCCAGTCTTGAGAAATCTTCTCTACAAATGAACACTATGCTGATAAGTCTCTACTTGTTGGGTGGTTGTTTGTTTTAAATATATAAAGAAATCTTTATAAGATATTCTTTTCCTTTTGTAGCTCTTATTGTATGTAAAAATGTTCCACTCCTTCCCAAGGACTGGGGTTTCCATAGCCAGCATTACAAATAAATAATTTATTACAACTGTTTGTCGCCTTCTTTCTTCAGTCGACTGAAAAAGAAAGAAAACTCATTTTAATGAAACGAAGGAGGTGTCATGACACTGCAGAGATGGCTCACCTTCCTGCTGCCCTCACCCAGGTGCCCTGAAGGGAACAGAGGTTGCCAGCGGACTGGTGAGCTCTCAGCACAAGAACGATAACGCCGTCTGTTGCAGGAGGAAACGATGACCTTTTGCTACCCATCACTAGTGCCAGCTCATCAAGCTCCAGCTTTATCTGCAGCTGCAGACATGACAGTCGGCTTCGGGCAGACTGGCTGCCCCCGTGGCACAAGGCCAGCGGGCAATTCTGGACAGCAGAAGCAAGGACTACAACATCAGAGCAAAGCAGTGCAAGGCAGCTGTTTAATACGCTGCTTCCCATACGTCCTTGCTACCCACAGACATGTGGAATGACCGCTGCTAGGAGCTGGTGGCTTTTTCTTCTCAGCTAACATACTGTCAGTGGTCACTGTCAAACAGGAGATAAGGTGGTGTCACATAAGGCAGGCCAAGAAGAGAACTACTCTACTATCACCACCATATAGCATTTCGGGGAGAAAGAACTCACATGATTTGAGTAGGCGTTCTCAGCTGGTAATGTGGGATCTGTGTTATTGATACAATTCAACTCCCTATCGCCTTTAGTAATTTCTTCAGATCTACTGAATCCCTCCCCTCTTCTCATTCATAAAGCTTTACTCACTCTCCTCCACTTCAAGGAAGAGAGAGACGTGGAAGCCACAATCGTAGCATCGCACTAAAAACCCCAGAGGTAATTCTGTAATTTAAGACTCAACTGGTCTACATCCTGGGACAGTAATTTGGACCTAGCTTCCAATCTGCACCATCACCTATGCCCAAATTAGGTGTCAGAACAGCTTCACCATCTTCCCTGTGTCAGAACAGTAACCCAGCACACAGTTAAGAAAGGTAGCAATTCAGAAGAAAAAAGATGGAATGTGGAGAAAGACAAAGGAAGCTGCAGCACCTCCAAGTCTCCAAAAGCCTTCATTGCACCTCTCACCTGTAATAATCTTCCTGACTTGGTAGATGACCACCATGCATGTGAGGATGCCCGTGCAACCACTGCTGCTCCATTGCCAGTCTTTGCAGCTCTGCTGATTGGGCATGCATGGCCTGCAGTTGGTGGGCTGCTGACATAGGAGGTGGGATGGCACCAGGCAGATCTCGTGGATAAGGAGTACCTAAGAGAGAGTTGCCCGTTTTTCAGACACTTGTTTGCTATGAGGTCTGCAGAGAGTTGTCCCATTAACTCCACCAACTCCCCTCCCAAGAAATGCTAAGATCCAGAAGGTGACAGTTCAGGTCAAGAGACAACCTTTGTAGAGGACCATAAAATGCTCTCACCAAAGACTGGATGTCGGAGCATTTCATGCTCATGAGGTGGCTGCCCTAGCAATGGGTTGGGGATGGTCCCAGGTGGGTAGGGAAAACGTGCCAAATGGGGTCCAGCTGC